ACCATGTTTCAATTTCAGATCCATTCCTAACATCTGTGCCATGATGCTTAAAAGTAGATCTACAAATAATATCGTTGAGTGATTGTTTCATATGTGGTCACGGTGTCATCAGTGAACTTTACCCTGCAGTTTCTGTGTCTTATCATTGCAGTAGTTGCAATCTGTCAGCAGGTTACTGCCGAGTCAGTTTCTTCTGCACAGTTCTGCTCATTCTAAATCTGCATCCTTTGCATATGACTGATGCTGTCGTGTCCTGCATGCAAGTAAATGTCCACATTGATCTGATGTTCAGGCTTGATGCAGATGCATGGAAAAAAAATCGGTTCTCAACATTTGATCTGGGATAATTAGAAATAAAGTAGAAAGTTCAGAGAAACATATTAAAGTCATTAAGTGAAAATCTAGAAATATAAAGAGTCAACCATATTCTTTAGTGAAATAAAATGATAAACCAGAAAAGTGAATTTCTTGGCTTTGCATACTTATGAAACAGCAATATGTAAAATGTATAAAATGGTTATCAAAAGTCCAACTGAAAATGAAAGTAAATTCAAAATAATAAAATTATAGAAAACCGTTCTTGAAACAGGAGGATTTGGGTTCCTTATGATGCCAACATGAACAGAAAACATATGATCATTTTGGTGGGACAACAACAGACTGAAATGTCTGTGAAGCTGCAGGAATGACCTGCAGGACCCTTTCACACCAGAATCAAGTCCAGTGGATTGTTTTTAACTTCTACGGAATGACTATGACCTGGATGACTGAGAATCTTCATCAGCACCAGAACCAAATCTCACTGCATGGAAAATCAGACAGAACAGTCTCAGAAAAGCCTTTTGAAGGACTTCTGGGGTACTTCAGGAACATCAAATCGGTCCACCCAGCCCAATTTTTTGTAAGGTTTCGGCTGGGTCCAATCATTGCTTCAGCTGGAGCTGAAGGGTTCTTTCCAGTCCACAAAAAACGGCATTCATGATTTACAGAAACTAAAACATGAACAGTTCAGGCCGCTTGCACTGGGCTTCCTCAGGAAAAAAGCTAAGGAGAGGGGTGGTAGCATCATGCTTTGGGGGTGTTTTTCTGCACATGGAACAGGATGACTCCACTGTATCAAGAAGATGATGACCGGGGCTATGTATTGCGGGATTTTAGGGAACAAAGTCCTTCCCTCATTTAGAGCATTAAAGATGGGTCAATGCTGGGTCTTCCAACATAACAATGACCCGAAACACACAGCCAGGATAACCAAGGAGTGGCTCTGGAAGAAGTATATCTAGGTTCTGGCGTGGCCTAGCCAGTCTCCAGGCCTAACCCCAATAGAGAATCTTTAGAGGGTGCTCAAACTCTGTGTTTCTAAGCGACAACGCAGAAACCTGACCTAGATCTAGAGAAGATCTGTGTGGAGAAGTGGGCCAAAATCCCTTCTGCAGTGTGTGCAAACCTGATGAAAAACTTAACAAAAATTCTTAACAAATCATATATTGGGATTATGTTGTTATGTCTCTCACAGTGGACATTTACCTATGATGACAATTTGGGCCCCCTCAATGATTTCTAAGTGGGAGAACTTGTAAAATAGCAGGGTGTCCAAATACTTATTTTCCTCACTGTACCGCTAAGGGGCAACGTTAATAAAAACAGAAATATACCTAATCATAAAACCTGTTTTTCTATACCTAAGCAGAGTTTACCCTGAGATAAGACTTTCTGTAGAGGAGCGAGGGTAAAACAGAAAGAATCAAAACACGATAAAAAGTTTACACTCCGTATTTCCCCTGCACTTGCCTTCGTTTAGCCAACTACCTCTGGAGTTTTTATCTAAGAACCAGAAAGCAGCATTACTCATTTATATGTTGTGCTCAACAAAGTGCAGGATAAAGATCTTTTTGCAGATGGACAAAAAAATCACCTCCTCCACCTACATATGTCATTTGTTGGAAAATGAAGTATTTATATGCATCAGATTTATTTCTGTATTTGAGATTTTCTACCAAATTGGAATAACTTTCTACATTTTATCAAGCTAAAGATATTTTACTCACCATTCTGCTCTTGCGTTCGAAATAAGCTCTGCTTGCTTCTCTTCCCTTGTTTCAACTCTTGGATTAATTGCCTCCAGAACAGAGCACGGTTACATCAGGGATGCACTCTTTTGTAAAACAAGCAAACTCCAAAGTTATACCCTGTAATGCTACTTACTGAAACTGTTAGTAGGAAAGGCCAGAGGACAGATCCGATCATGCAAGCCTAACCTGTTCTAATGGAAATAGAAGGATTAAAATGAAAGGAGAAAATGTTTGTTCAAGAGGTATTACATCTGAGGAAGAGAAGAGTCGGTCTGTGAGCAAGTAGATGTTTTTTCAGGGTAAAAGCGCAGTGCAAGCGGTACAGCATTAAAGATGGAAAATAAGGAATCCTTTTAAGTTTAAAATGCATGCTGATTCGATTAAGGTGTGAAGGGGACCACATCAATGTTTACATTTCTCTGTTGGATCTTCATGAACTGGCTCATCTAGAAATAGGCAAATAAATACAAGGCTGTTGTAGACCTGATACAATATGATACAATGCAAGATTTATGAGTACTTGATAAGAAAGCGGAATGATAATTTACTAATGATATTTTTACCAATAAAAAAAAAACAGCTGGTTTTTTAAAACAATAAATAAAGTTTTTGGCATGCAATGAACAGTAGATCTTTACTATTCCTTTAATGTTTTATGGCTTTGATATGAGTTTCTATGCAACGAACTGAAATATAGATGCTTGACAAGTGAGTCCTTAGTAACAAACCATGCAGTTGGTTTTAACTCAACTGTGAGTACAGTGTTGAGGACAGACCTCTCAGACATCATTTTAGATCAGGGTCATGACAAGGTCCAGTTTAGGACTCTAAAAAGTAGATGTGATATTAACCACAAGGGTCGTCATAAAGATTTAGGCGAAATCAAAAAAGGGCAAAAGAAATATGTGTCATGAAACATTCCTGGAAGACTGAGGTGGCATCTGAGTCGACAAACTTCATCACGTCAACAGAACCTGAGAGCTGTGGAGACCCTGGGAGAGAGCAGCGGCACACATTCAGACATCAACACCAATGTTCAGTTTAAAGGAGGGATGGGTGGAAAATACATCCAAGACCAAATCCAACCAACAGTTTGATGGAAGAGAATAAAAGAGCAGACGAGGCCCGTTTTAAAGCCAATTAGACCTCATTCTTTTAAAAGAAAACAGATTCTGAGTTTATAAAGCAAACACTCAGGATTTATGAGAACCTGATATGAAAACGAGTTGATCAAGATGACTTTCAAGTAGATTTTTTTTTTCAGATATAAAAATAGAACATGTAGCCCGCACGGTTCTTCAAAATCTGAGTGCTTTGAATCCTTATGTTATGAATAACTAAATTATATTATTAAAGGAGATGCTTCAATGGGCCTCTTTCACAAAACAGTTAAATGAGACAAGCCCCTCTTTAACATCCTAAATTTATATCCATGTATTTAAAAAAAAAATGCTGTTTATTTTGCTTTTAGTTGCCGAATTGATATTTACATCGAATGTTTCGCAAAAAAATGAAGGTTTCTATGTTCACACTGGATAAGCAATAACTGGCACTGTGTGCATAAACTTTCTTGGCCATTTTTTGCATATAAATCAGCATCAGGAGGTTAAGGTAGCTCTGGTGGTTCATGAATCCCTCCACCTCTCTAAGCTTTGCAATGATATTAGCTTCTACTGACATACAGAGTTAGGACATCTCCACAACAATTGTTTTTCAAATCAGAGGACTGAATGTGTTGCTGTAGTTTGCATCTGAATTTTAGCTTATACTAGCATAATTAGCCTTGGCCGGCCTCTAGCAGAAGGCAGGATCCATGGTGAATATCGGCAGCTTGAGGGCAAACTTGCACAATGTGGGAGGAAATTCTATACGTTTTAAGCTAAACATGAACATGTCTGGAATAATTTAATCTACTTTCAGTTTAAGAGTAGTGCACTCATTTGAGAGCAGTGTATTAGTTTCACTAAAAACACATATCAAAATCAAAGAATCTCAAAATATCCAGAGAGGAACAGCTTCTTGTGAGAAACAAATTTCCTGTTGCATGCCACATTTTTCCTTGCTTTGAAGCATTCAGCATGTCGAAGCGAGTCGATCTTCATCAAAGCAGACAGAGCGTCTGCATAGTGCAGCATGACATTCATGAAATAAGGGAATACGGTTGCCTCCTGGCTTCAAAATTTGAATCGTACTTTAACAAAATCTGTCTCAATGGCTGTAAATTAGAACATATAATACTTAGCTGCGTGTGTTTCTAAATAAATGAATGAAGGGATATATTTAATATGTTAGCAGTTCTGTCATTTCATGTGTTGTTATAGTGATGGTTTAATTAAGCTCTGTAAGTATGGTGTTTTTTTTTTTATGCCAAGGGCAGAAGGGGATGGGGCGTGATTTAAGTTAGGAGGACAGCTTGACCCTATTAGGGCTCTGAAGTAGAACAATGAACCAGTTCTCCATTTTCTTTTGACACTAGATAAGAATATATGGGGTGAAATCTAGATACGGTAAGTCATTTTTTCTTAAAAAAAGTGCATTTGCTCTTGAATTGAGGAGGTAAAAGAGACTTTTTGCCAATGGAACAAGACAATTTACTCTAAAAATAAGAAAACACAATTGCATTGTCTTATTTCAAGTGCATTTTATCTAAATATCTTATTTTAAGAGTAAAAATACTAATTCCACTGGCAAAATATCTCATTTAACTACTCAAATTAAGGGTAAATACACTTAATTTAACAAATTTTTACTTATTACTAGATCGTTTTTCCAGTGAGGACAGAACTTAGAGCTGAAGAGTATATCTTAGTGGGATAAGCTCAGAGAGGACGATGCAAAGTTTTGTCTCCTCCCCGTATTTTAGGTTTTTAAATGGCTCATTCAAAGTTTGCTCACATCAGCCAGTTTATTTATTTGATGCAACTTTGGTGCCTCTAAGTTTAAAGGCTAAGCCAAAGGCTTTTCTGCACCATGTCAAGCTTTAGTTAGAAATGAGCTTATGTGTGCTAAAATACTGAGTAAAATAAATTATATCAGAGCCTTATTTGCCATGTAAATAGAAGGCAGTTAGATATCTACTTACTTTACATTTTGAACTACAGCTAAATTAGGTATTCTAGATCTTATAATTAGAGAAATAGCCCTTTATTCAGAAGCCAATTAGAAGCATAAATTAGATGCTAACTTTAACATCATTGGAGGAACTCTTGAATTAATTCATCTTGCTGACTAAGTTATTCTGTATGTTATCAGTAGAAATAAATGTCTTGGTCATCTTAATAAATGTCTTTTACATCTTAATACTGACTGCTCATACCAATCCTTTCAATCCTATCACCACAATTATCAAACCCTTATCCCACTGAAATGTTCTAACTGGTGGTTCAGAGCAGCAGGTGGGGAATTATCCCCTTATGATTACAATCATAATTGCAGTGTTTTGTGAAGGAAGTGAAAAACTGAAAAAATAAAAATAAAAAACTGTAATAAGTGGTATAAACCGAACTGGGATCCTAACTTCACCTGAAGTTTTTATATCTAATGTGATCCTAACCAAATACGCCAACAGTAACGACGGTGCTGCCCCTAATTTCTCTTCTGCTCTTTTCTTTTCTTGAGCCATCAGCCGCTTTAAAAATCTCAACTGAGCAGTTCAGGTGCTTCTTTATCAAAGGGGCTTTAAGTAATAATAAAAACAAAAAAAACAAAACAAGTGAATTTCACAAAAATATAAACGAATGCATAAAAAAAGAGTAGAAGGTCTCTAAAAAAAAAAACAATTCCACATTTTGGCATAATTTCCTTCTTTCCAGATTTCTGAGTATTGATAAGAGATAGTGGGTCATTTCTCCACTTACAGACAGACAGATAATACAGTAGATAGGACAGACAGAGGAATCACGTACCGATACAGCTCATCTCATACAAAAGAAAACCAACATGGAACAATATGCGCTACGTTTTACCGCGCTGCCAGCGATCAGTAACAGCCTTTGAGTTAAAGTGATGCTTGTGTATCCTTTATATTAGAAAAATTAAGCCATTTGCAGTTCTCTGTGACAGCCACCGGGGGCGTCAGTGACTGTGCTTGGTCCAGAAGAGATTCGTGTGGGGAGGGGGGAGACCTCTCCTGCTCCCAAGTGAAATCCTTCCTGTCCGTCATCTAAGTGAGCCGGGGTCAGTCTTTGCTCTCCATCCAAACACAGCGGAGAGTGTCGGAGTGAAGAGGAGGGGCCTCCACCTGCTGTCTGTGGCCCCGCCTCCTGACCATTCAGGGTTCATAGGTTTTAATCCCAAAAGATCTGCTGCTTTGTTCATTTCTTCTTGCTTGACTTCTCGGAGCGTTTTCCGTCTGACTTTCCCGCCCGTTCTGATTTCTCCGACCGCTCTCCTCTCTCCCTCTCCTTCTCTTTCTCCTTTTCCCTTTCCTTTTCCTTGTCCGCCCGCTCTATCCGGTCTCCACGATCGGAGCGCTCGCCGCCTCTATCCGACCTGTTGTCCACTTTGCTGCCGTCTCGCCGTGTCCCTTCGTCCGTGGATGAGGTAGTTGGTTGGGGCTGACCCCATTTGGCAATCTCCTCGTGCTCTGAAATACTGGCGGTGATGTTGTTCACCCATGCTTTGAGGTCCTCCTAATGAGAAAGAAAATGGCCGAAGTCAGCTGTTTGGATTCAAATATGGGAATACAGGGAACACTGAACAAAAAGTCTCACCTCATCCTTTGCATGAAACAAAAATTCACTGCCATCCTTCGTTCTGTTAGGAGAGAAAGAGAGCTTCAATTTTACAACAATGACGACCAAAACCTTTTCTTCCAAACTACCAGACCGATGGCTGGTTTTGAAAAAACCCTTTTTTAATGAAACAGGACATGTTTTAGACTTGAAAGACTAGTAGATAAGACAAAGTATCAATAAATCTGAGTGTTTCTAAAGATTTTTTTAGTTACTTTGAGCAGTAAATTAGTTACTTTTTTACTAGATACCTTGTTCATACAGCCTTAACTTCAGCTTTAAACCCTTTAAATCTTCTCTTGTCCACATCTCACTCTGACACAAATGCTCCCCCTAATGCTTGGTGTATACTTGCTGCAGTGAAAGCAACAGCCAAAAGTGACGGCATCATGTCACGCTCACCCTCAATCGCAGACTGCGTGTGGAGCCGTGGCGCTAGGTCACACACCTCTCAATTTTTGTAACTTGGTGTTGACCCATGTTTGCCTGTACTGCCAACAGCCCAGAAGGTTCAGGTGGCACAGCCTTGTTAATGGCTGTGTTGTTATTGCTTATTTAGTGACTGAAAACAGCATACACAAAGTACTGGCATAGTTTCAGGGGTGAGTTTATCAGCCATGTGAGTGGTTACAAACAAAGATTTAGGTTTCTCTTTTCATCACCTACAGCATAAAGGAAGTCTGAAACAACTACCCACAGTATGTCATTTATTGAGCTTTCATTTAGTAAAAGAATATTTTTTTATAAGTGTTATTTAAAAAAGAGATCCATTTGGTCTTCACAGGTAGGCTGCCTTCCCTATAATTAGATATCTCTGTGTGCAGCAGGTAAACCTACCATTATATTCTAGCATATATTTCTAGATGCAGTGCAGCAACCCAACGCACAAGTATATTTCATCTACAGAAATTGGGAGGTGCATGACCTAGCACTGAGGCAGCACACGTGGTCTGCACTCGGGGTTTGCGCTGCTGCGTCACTTTTGACGCGCACTCGCATGTCCTGTTCAATGCAGCGTGTATAAACCTAGTTTCAAGAGACCACCTATCTCTGACCCCCTACTTGAACTAACTGTTTCTGAGGAAGATGTAAATACGGTCTTCCAGCATCAGACAACCATAAAAGCTCCAGAACCTGATGGCATTTCCCCCTTTGCTGGAGATTTTCCGCTCACCAACTTGCCCCCATCTCCATTCAGATATTGAGCAAGGAGATGTTTGAGATTCCTTTGTGCTTTAATCTCTTCACCAGCATTACCAATAAATAAACCATGACAGAGATCAGTGACAACTGACCTGTTAACCTCAAGTCTGCAGTCCTGAAATCTTCTCAGTCACAGGAGTTGAAGCTTTTTAGGGATGATATAGATGCCCTTATAGACCACCTGCAGTTAGCTTACTGGGCAAACAGGTCAAACTGGGATTACACTTCATTTTTAGGCCCCGTCCACACGAAGTCAAAACGAACACGAAACGCTAATATTTTCCAGAACGTTTGTCGTAAAGACGGAGACGTAAAATAAATGTGATCGACCACATGAATGCATGAAAACGCTGCAAAATGTATGCCAGGCCTGTAAGTGGCGCTGTGGTGCCAAAGAAAAAATAGGCGACGAAATGTTGGGCATGCGCACTAATATTTATACATGGTTGCCCTGCGGGTCCATTTTCGTGGTTCGGTCAAATTCAGGTGCTGAACTATGTCGTCGATATTGCTCTGTTCTTCCTGGAGATATTCCAGAAGAAGAAGATTCTGTTGTAAGCCCGACAGCAGGGTGAGTAGCATTAGCAGCAACCATTCAACACAGTACGGCGCCATTGTTGTTGTGATACTGTGTCGCGCATGCGTGTTTAGAGGCGACGCTATGACACATGCGTGTAAAAAAAAAAAAAAAATGCGGTTAGAGCTTAAAGATGGAAACGCGAAAACGGCGTTTCAAAATCTTCCCACTCTGAAGGCTGAATAAAAAAAAGATCGTTTACAGACCCCGAAACGCCGTTTTCGTATGGATGAGAGGCTGGTTTGGTGAAAAATTTGTGCGTTTAGGCCAGGGTTTGGCTTCGTGTGGACGGGACCTTAACCAATTCAAGCACCCAGGGGCCTATACCATGATCCTCTTTAGGAACTTCCACTAGGCCCTCAACACCATAAACTCCCTCACAGAAAAAGGTGCCTGTCTTCTCCTGCACAATGACTTTCTGTACTGGCGCCGCCCAGGGGTGTATTCTCTCCCCACTTTGCTTTTCACTTTATGTAAATGCTTCTCAGCTAGCACAAAAGCTTCAAAGTGGATCTACAAATACCAACTATACTTGGAAGAAAAGCCTAGCAGAAACTCTACTCAAGAGGTACCAACTTCATCAAGAGCTGCAGGTCATAAATCTACAAAAAGCATGTCCATCACAACCAAAGCTAAAGGAGATGCTTGTTGGCTGAAGCTGGTAAGAAGCTGATAACTACTTTAAAACTGGTCCTGCACACATATTGTTTAAAACACCACTCAAGGAATAAGCCATCCAGTCAAAAAGAAACATTAAAAGCCAGATTACAGTTTGAAAATCCACACACCTAGACGAATTATTTAGTTTTAGACACAGCGGTTTGTTTAATAATTCTTAGATTAATATAGAAGTAATTACATTTGGCAGAAAAAAATAGGTTACAGGTCTCAACTGTAAAGTACTGTAGTGGTAGCATCATGTAGTACCAAGGTGTTTTTAATAGTGAGCTAGATCATAAGGGAAAATATCACAATAAAAACTGACACCACCTTAGCCAGAAACAGATAATGGCTGCTTCCGAACATCCGCCCTAATCCCTATATAGGGCACTATATAGTGTTTGCGCAATTTTAAATGAGTGTCTGAACGTCTAGTGGATGAGAAAGTAGTGGACTCGAAATTTCCCACAATGCAAAGTAGTGATCATCCATGGTCTTAAACAAGCACAAATATCCCGGAATGCTTTGAGAGAGCTCTCTTTGCAAAGCATCATGGGGTTTTTATTGTGACAGAGGCCCACTGTCGGGTAGAGACACCGGCGACAAATGAGAAAGATGTTGCCCGGTCAACGGTGACCAACGGGGAGAGAAAATAGTGAAAATAGTGTTCCACTGTCGGAATGGTCAGTTTATTGAGTTCACTATATAGTCTCTGCTGTATACGTAGTGACTGAGGGATTTAGGGGTTAGGGCAGATGTTCGGACACAGCCAATAACTCTAAACATGCTGCAAGATCAATGAAAACGTGGTTGAACAACAACATCAGCATAAACAAGATGTCCTGAATGTAAATATATCAGAATAATCTTAGAAAATTAAGGCCTTAGGCTTCATTTGCTGATTTTCAAGTCTGCGAGCAACTCAAAAATGCTGCATTAAAATAATAGAGAAACCAGGAAATCGTCCCCTCACTTCAGAGTGAAGACGTTCTTCTTCTTCTTGTAGCCGTTGGTGACGTCGCAGTGGCAGTGGGAGAGGTTGAGCAGGGGCTCGTTGTTGTAGGACGTGGTAGTGTTCTTGGCATCCTTGTAGAAACCCAGCTCCCCTTTGTTCAGCACGCAGTAAAGGTTGACCCAAGACCTGCTGTGGTGCGGGCAAGGGGTGGGGCAGGGTGGGTTGGTGGGGGAGGAGGGGAGGGTAAGGTGGAAAGTGAGGAGGAAAGGGGAAAAGGGGAGGAAGGGGAAGGAGGGAGGGGAGATTGGGGGGAGTCAGGAAGAGCTGCAGAGTCTCTGTTGCTAGGCTAACACCTGACTCACCTGACCAGAGCAGACAGGTAGGTAGGCGGGATGGACCAGCCCCAAGAAGGGAGGAGGATATACACTGCTGAACAAACACAAATGAACGGACGAACACGGATGGAGGAGCTGGGGATGGCGGGATGGCGGGATGGAGGGATTGGGGGGGGGTGTCTACGTGCGGCTTGTCTGTTCCTGTGTGACGCCTAAGTATGACTTACCTTAGAGGAGAACAGAGGGACAGCCGGAAGCACAGCGTGAAAGAGACAAAAAAGAGGAGAAGCGTTTGGTTAAATGTCATTTTTTGCAATAAGGCAACAATACATCAGTTAAAGTGACCACATGCATGAAGCCTATCAGTAAAAAGGGGGAAGTACTGTGCAAAGGTCTCAGGCATGTCAGATATTGGCTCTGATTCCACCAATGCCAAACAACCAGATCTATAAATAAAGATCTGCAGAAGCAGAGTTGGTCTGTTTGACAAGATAAAATGAAGACAATTGATAAACAAACACAACTTTAGTCATTCATTTCAAGTGACAATGAACCTCACGGATTTTGTTCAAGATTAAATAACTATTTCCAAAGCTGCCCTCTTTTAAACATATAAAGAAATAATTATGCGCTATAAATCTGTAACCAAACCACAGAGTCTTTAGTGCCATAGACGTGTGCACAGCATTTGATGTAGATTCAGTGTACAGCTTAACATCCTGATAGAAAAGACCTTAAAATAAGTCACAGAGAATCAAGTGGACAGAAATCTACGACATATGTGACAGTCTAGGTCCCAATATCTATAACAGTATGGCTGCAATTAATAAAAGATTTGATGATCATGAAAAATAAAGCTAAAACTGACAAGAAGTCTTTAAAAAACTAAGTACACCCTCACAGTTTATACAGCACTTCAGAAGAAAAGGCGTCCCAGTGCTGCTAATTCAGTGCAGTTGATTAAGGCCCCGTCCACACGAAGTCAAAACGAACACGAAACACTAATATTTTCCAGAACGGAGACGTAAAATAAATGTGATCGTCCACACGAATGCATGAAAACGCTGCAAAATGTATGCCAGGACTGTAAGTGGCGCTGTCGTGCCAAAGCAAAAATAGGCGACGAAATGTTGGGCATGCGCACTAATATTTATACATGGTTGCCCTGCGGGTCCATTTTCGTGGTTCAGTCAAATTCAGGTGCTGAACTATGTTGTCGATATTGCTCTGTTCTTCCTGGAGATATTCCAGAAGAAGAAGATTCTGTTGTAAGCCCGACAGCAGGGTGAGTAGCATGAGCAGCAACCATTCAACACAGTACGGCGCCATTGTTTTTGTGATACTGTGTCGCGCATGCGTGTTTAGAGGCGACGCTATGACACATGCGTGTAAAAAAAAAAAAATGCGGTTAGAGCTTAAAGATGGAAAACGAAAACGGCGTTTCAAAATCTTCCCACTCTGAAGGCTGAATAAAAAAAAGATCGTTTACAGACCCCGAAACGCCGGCTTCGTATGGATGAGAGGCTGGTTTGGTGAAAAATGTGTGCGTTTAGGCCAGGGTTCGGCTTCGTGTGGACGGGGCCTAACTTATGATCATCAGTGTAATAACCCTAATAAAATGAGATGAAAAGACATCAGGAATGACCTTGGTCAAACGGTCATTAATTTGGGAAATGGATTAAACTTCCATCATGCTACAATCACTAAACCTTCCATCAAAATTATCCTCAAATAGCTTCTTATTACAGAACAGTTAGACAAAAACTGGCTTATTAGGCAGCTAGAAAGCCTCTGTTTTAAAGAGAACAAGGAGGAAAGACGTAGAGTTGTAAAGGAGCATCCGATAGAACCAATGGACATACATTATGGAATAGAACGGACCAAAATAGAGGTGTTTGGATGCAACAAACAGGAACCATGTTTATCAGCTGTGAAGAGCTGATAACTTGGGTTTGTTGCATTATGACCTGGGCTCAATGCCATCACTGATTGGTTCTTCTGCTTACCAAAGCTTTCTAAGGTCAAATGTGACAACATGGGTTTGAAACTTGGGCCAAACTGGATCATCAACAGGTTTATGATCCCGGAAACGCAGCAGCAATTCTACAACAGAGCAGCTAAAAAGGAATGAAAGTGCTGCAATGGCCTAGTCAAATTTCAGGTTTGTTGTAATTTGACGAGAACTCTGCAGTTTTAGCAGTTACTGGGAATTTGTATGAGCTATGAAATAAAAGGGTGCACTTACTTTCTAAAAGAGCTTTTTTTAATGTCTTTTATTTGTTTTCTATTTTACACTTGAGGATAAATGATTGTAAATCTTTATTCTGTCCTGCCATGTTTACCTTTTTTCTCACAAAAAAATATTTTACAAGCATTTTGTCCAAAAAATAATCTTTTGTTTGTTTCATCAGAATGTTAATATGCACAGAAAAAGAAAATAATAATTTGTAGAGTGGTGATGTAACAGTGACGGGTTGAATCTCAATGCTCGCCTCGACGGTGGGCGGCTTCAATGAGCCCCACGAGGAGCCGTTAGCAGCTTCACACTGGATTCAAGCCGTTCACAGTTTTGCTTTACCTTACTATGTACATTACAGGGCATGTACATATGATCACATTCATCCACTGCCTTGAGTGGGCGCATGAGTGGGTCTCATCCACTGCTGGAACTGGATGAGCTTTTGGCTGTGCGTGATCAGGTCAGCCACCGGGGGGAGGGGGCAGTGGAGAGAGAGAGAAAAAGAAAGGCATTGTCCCTGGTGTCCCTATGGAGGAAGGAGGGAGGTCGCCTGTGGATGGTCAGGAGGTGTAAATGTGTGTCTGTGTGGGGGTTTGTGTGCATGGCCAGCAGATCGATCCACTCTCACAGCATTCTTCATCCAGCCAGTTAGTCTGTGAGTAAACCACCCGCCTCAGCTGTGCTTTTGATTCAGGAAGCAGAGTAAGCATCATGCAAGGGCGGTTTATCGTGCTGTGGGGCTTTTTCAGGCTCTTGTTAATTCATGTAACTGTTGTCCTCACATTTTGTACATAAAAAGAAGATTTATTAAATATTAACATACTTGTATAAAAATATACAAGACAAAAACTACAGCACCCTTGAGAAATATTACTATGTCTGGTGAGCAGTAAATTTTCGTACTGAAGAAATAAAGAAGGTAGAGCAGAGCATAAAATCTAATGTTCAGATATAATATGTATTTATTTTTCTTATAAACTCACCAATTTAATAATTATTAATCCTTCAAAAATTTTATTTAAAATAAGGGTAAAAAATGATGTTTTTAAATAGCTTTTCATATAATTTATCATTGCTCATCTAAGTGCCTTTGAACTTTTAGTTGTTTTATTTTTAGTAAATTGAGACAAAAGGACTTTTTTTTTAAATCCACCCATCAAACTGTATAAAACAATAAAATATATTGTTTAATTAGAGTAGACAGGTAGATATTAATGTTCATAGGCCAGAAAACAACTGCAAAAGAAATAACCTATTTGCAAAATATGTTTACATGTTGGACATAATTTAGATATTTCTAACAATTAGAAATGCCCCAAACAAGGTTGGGTGAGAGCCTACTGCATGTCCATAATGCTTTCATGCAGAGAGAGGAGAATGGTAAGAGGGGTTAGAGAACTACAGTCACCAGTGGTATCTTTGGTTTGTTAAGTCTGATTCAAAACTGTTGGACACCATCAAAATAACAACTGTTTATTTGGGAGGGAAGCAAACTAAACAAGAAGCATTTTATGCCCTAATTTTATGAACACTAACATGTGAGGTTTAATATTGGAAATTTAACTTGAATTGTGTATTTTGTTAATATGAGACTGAGCTAATACTTTCCTGCAACAGACAGGGCTTCTGGATGTGATGTCAAACAAAGGAGGACGTTTCTAAAAAATCAACTTATGCCTGCTGTTCGCCATGGTGAAGGATCTGTGATGCTGTGGGCTGATTATTCTCACAATGTCTTATGAGAGATTTGACTATTTTAATAGTTTTTGCACATTTTTCTTAATCATGGCTAAGATATGTTTTGAGGGTGCTGTAGTTGCATATTTAGGACTGAAAGGCAGAAACACTGAAAGGCAGATTAAAAACCTTGCATATCTACTTTATCATGGATCTACTAAACCAGTTTGAAACCTGGTTGTAGTGGAGAAGAGAAAGCCGGTTAGGGTTACAGTAAAAAGCTAATATCATCAACTGACCAGCACTACAGCGTGCTTGATTTGCTTGCAGCCTGTAAGGACCACATGTCAGCTGAGTCAGTGTCCGTCATGCATCGTCCAAACAAATCGGATGCAGTTGCAGTTGTAACTCTGCATGCTTAACTTGCGCCCGGTTGCCATTGATCATTCAATAAACACAACAGGGATGTATTCAAGAATATAGTAACATTATTTCTGATTTTCAACCAGATGGTTAAAAAAAATGAATGAGGAAACTTTTTATGAAATTACTTAATAATTTAGTCATCAGAATTCCTTAATTTGGATCCTCATGACACCAGGGTGCATCCACTGTCTATGAAACCTCCACTAGTTACTCTTGTTTATGACCCTGAAGACCCACCTATTGGTGCTTTTCTTCATGCTCTCGATGTCCAGCTTGCGGAAAAGGAAGCCCTCATGGTGTGCTGTATGGGTTGGTGGTTGGGGGGCCGTCTGGCTGCTCTGAGCTGGAGCAGATCTGGACCTCCGCGTTGTCTCTCCTGGCTCTTTGGGACGAGGCCTTCGTCTTGGTTTGGGTCTGTCCCTGGCTCTGGGCCGGTCAAGACGGGAAGACTTTTCTGGTATACCGTTGGGCAGGCGGGGAACCTCACCACGAGCCTGAGAGAAACGAAGGTGGGCTGTTTGTTGAATTTAGTAAATTTTAATGCAACTTTTTGAAACTACTGTAAAAATTCCCAGTGGCTTAAGATTCCTGCATGCAAGTAGATGTTGTCAGATCTCAAAAAAGGTCCTGATCTATTGATGTTTTCTGAGGGTTTTTCTTTTGACAGTATCCTCTGCTGTTGGAATATGGAATACAACTTTACAAAAAAAAAAAAAAAACTTAAACTTGTAGTCTAAATGCTACAAAGGGAAGCAGTTGAAATATTCTTGAGGTAATAGGTGAAACAGATTAGCCAAAGTTGTTAGAGATGCACAGATTGCAGCTTTTGTGGCTAATTTTTGATCACAGATTTTTGTAAAGCTAGATTCCGATTTCTCTGTTATTAATATAGACGTAAAATATACTTTTTTTCTAATGTCTGCCTAAATTGAAAAATTATGACATAATTTTTATAACTTTTTATAACATACTGTACATTTTTTTGGTCAAATGGATGTAAACATAACCCCTGTCACATAACCCTGCAGGGGTTATGTGACAGAGAAATAAAATAAAAACAAACTGCATTAGATTAAATGGATTAAACATATTAAAAATTAGACTTAGACAAATTTTATTTGTCATTTTGTTTACACAAATGTGTTTACACAAGTGTAAAACAAAAAGAAATTTCGTTTGGAACAGCTCTCTGGACAATTTCATCTTTTTAAAAGTGCAGCCTTGAAAAAAAAGATATGAAAAAACAGTAATATAAACATATGACTGTACATTTACAGTTCTAACTTTTTTTTGTTATTAAAAAAACAACAACAGATCTTTCCTTTACAATACATTACAATACTTAAGTAAAACTGACTATAAAGTAAAACTCCTTTATAGTCATAATGAATTATGACTATAAAGGAGTTTTAAAGAACCATTGTGATCAGAAATGACGTTTTGTGTAGAAAATTCTAGATTTAAACTTTCCAAAAATTGCTAGCTGTTAATATCAGAGAGACCAATACACCTGCTGATATTTTGGGCTGATATTAATGTTTTTTCTTGTATCTGTATCGGCAGATATTTGCAGGCATTTGTCTCATTAATGCATTCAGGAGCCATGCTTTGCGATTACACAAAGCACATGCATTTTCGGCCCCTTTATTTCTTATCCATTGTTGCTTTTTCCTTTAACTTGTTAATAAATGTTTCTTTTAGTTTAAATAGTGACTTGTATGGAAGACGATTAGGGCCACTGGAAAAAAAAAAAGTGATGCTAACATGCTTGTTAGCTGTCAGAATTTAGTCAGATTTCTCAGAAAAAAGTAAGAATTCTGAGATTAAAGTCAGAATCCTGACTTTTTTCTCATATTATACACAATAATATGTAAAGTATGTAATATTTATCTGTGGCCCTAATCCTCTTCCGTATTTTGTAAAATTTGTTGTCATAGTAGGCCTGTGTGAATTTTTTGTTGCAGAAGATTTTAAAAAATCTAATTGATTTTTCTTTTTAATAACGGAGCATTTTGGCTCCCCGGAGTTCCTGTAGCTGCTGTTTTACTCTCAGGTTGCAGTTTGGCAATTGACAGCGTCACACGAAACAGCAAACGACATCGTAACTACAGATGAGTGAGACGTTTGTTCTCAAAAAAGGAATGAGATCATCTGTTCTTTGGAAGTGAAAAAAAAAGTTAACCGCCGTCGTGGCAGATTTCCGGCATGAGGCAAGTGCGGGGGATTTTTTTGGGAGGGTAAAAAATAGGGGGTTTGGAAAAAAAACGTAAATCGAATAAAAATAAAAAAGTGATGGAGGAACAAACAGGAATGTCAGCCTAAAGAAATCGACAGTACATATTGGGAATCAGCTAGACTGATGTCGGTCAATCTCTACCAGGCCAAGGACCCCCAAACTGATGGCAAGATGAAGCAGGGACCCCCTAATTATATATATTGTATGAAATTGTGTTATATCAAACTGGTCCTATAGAAAAGGCCCTCAAAACGGTGCCCAGCTTGAAAGATCTCCTGTGTGTCACTGAATGTGTGCATTGATGACTGAAAGACATCTTCTGCCTCCATTTATCTGTTTACTACAGCGTGTTGAATTCATGCTAATGTGGATTTAAAGACAGTTCAATTAGTGGGAAAAAAATTGCAGGGGGAATATAAAAAAAAGTCGTTTCAACCAAAACTTTAGCGAACCCCATGCAGTACCTCTGTGGACCCCCTAAGGGTCGCGGACCCCCTGTTGAAGACCTCCGCTCTAGTTAGTATGCCTGAAAAGGTTGGAGGACTTATCTATGAAGTATTAAAGAACCAGAAGGAGGCAGCCAAACAACAACGACAAAAAACAAACACAGCTGCGCTTTAAGTCCACACCTGTGCTGCTTCTCTTTCTTGAAGCTGCTCTACTATCTCTGCCATGGTGGTTCTCTTCTCTCTATAGAAAACAAAAGTTATGATAATAGATCAAACTTTTTTTTCTCAACAAGTCACACACTTTGATGCATAACTGAAAAGATAAGCCTCACCCTCCTGTAGAGCGTCTGTCTGATTGCTCCCTGCCCATGTCATCACTGGACTCCTGTCTCTCCCCTCGGTGCCGGTCCCTTTCTCTCCGCCGGCCGTCATGGCCCTCCTGTTCACTGGAGGTTTGCCTCTCCAGCGTCCGCCTCCTCTCTGCTTGTTCTCTCCACACCTCCTGAGGTAGCTCATCTCTGCGCGCCTGGATCAGCTGCTCACTGGAGAGCTGCCGCTGATACGTCTGGACCTGAGGTTCTGCGTGACCCAGGGGGTCGGTCCTGGATCCCCGCGGCCCCCTGGTGGGCTCGCTGTGCAGACCCTCTCGACCCGGCTCCTGGAGCACCACCTCAGCCATCACCGCCACCTCTGCTCGCTCTGTTGCCATTCCCCCCCCTCGTTCCCGTTCTCTACCCCTCTCTCTGCCTCTCTCCAGTCGGCTAGCCACAATCAAAGGCGTCACAGCATCGTCCAAGTGTTTGATTTTGGGTTGCCGTAGATACGGCAAGGATTTCACCTCAAGCTCCTTTCCCGCCTGCCCCGGCTGTAAGTAACTCATGGTTTTGGTGGCCTGATCTTTTGCAGTGCTGGTACTTTCTCGCATCTGATTGGCCGACACCAACATTGCCGCCGTGGCAACAGATGCAATCGACGAGGGAGCTGGCTGACCTAGTCCAGCTGCCACACCCACCACTCCACCGTGCCGCGCCTCCAGGTTGTGTCTGTAGCTGGATCCGTTCATCACGGGGGTGTAGTTGGCGACCGTGGACCCCAGCCGGCGAGCCGCAGCTGATGGGGAGGGCGTTGGGGTGGCAGGCGAAGGAGATGGAGGAGAGCTGGCCTCATTCTGCTCGTAGATGGTCTGTCTCATGACGGGGGAGACTGGAAGGCGGGGGAGGGTTGTTGGAACGGAGGATGCATCTTGTGGGTCCAGGAAGACTTTACGCCCCAGAAGGGGTGTTGGGGGCAATTTGCTCTGTTCTGCTTTCAACTTTTCCACCTTCAAGAGGGAAAATAAATAAATAAATATTTTTAGTAAGTAAGTAAGTAAACATAATTTATGTAAATCATAAAGTTATTTACAATTTAACATTAAAAATGCAGTATATAATGTTCAGAGTAGAAATTAGTGTCATCAGCATAAAAGAGTACATTGAAACAATTGTCATTAATATTGAAAACTAGGATAATTTGCTTCCTTGAGGAACATCTATGGTTTAGGTAAGGGATCAGAGAGGAGACCCTACACCCCCACTCCATAGACCAGGGGGAACCAATTAAACATGAGTGGGGTCTGAATAAAGATAATCATCAACCAGTAAAGGTCCGGAGACATTTTTAATTACAATCTGTTACTTGAAACAAAATTTAACACTGAAATACAATGAGGTTTTTATGCCTCCATGTTATAGATTGAATTCTTAAATAAGAAAAAAAAAAAAAAAAAAAAATCTAAAGTGTTTTTTGAAGTATAGAAGAACAATCGTTCAGTTTGGTGTATAGACAATTTCCTAATTCACATATTTTATAAAACATCTGAACCAACCGTTAGTTTTTTTTTTTTTTTTAATGGCTTATGATGAGAGCAGTGAGCTTTATGCTGCCCTGCAAGGCTTTAAACCTGGGTTTAAATGGAGACAAAGTCATTCTAAAGCACATATCAAGGTGTTTATTCGTGAGCTGGATCCATATTTATTTTTGATTCTGTTCATGGTGGAGAATCCTGCCTCACAGCAGCAGGTTGAGCCAAACATGCTCTAAATGTGCAGGGTCATCTTTGAGCACCATTTCACTTTTCTCTCACTAGCTCACTGCAGTTCTTCCAGTAGTCCACCCTTCCTCTTTCTTTTTCTCATCATCTTCTCCTTCTTTCCCATCACCCGGCTTGCCACAGGTTTGCCTGCTGTGTCTAAAAGTAGCAGCAGCAGCAACCCAGACTGACAGCAGCTCATTGGCTAATTTGTATCACGTAGAGCCTGGTGCTGGACACTTAGGATGGCTTTACCGTATTAACAGGAGAAGCGGCGCAAGTGAAGTAAGACACGGCCGTCTGACAACATGCAGTAATTTATAAATGTTTTAAATCAGGTTTCGTATAGATTAGCCAGCAGGATGGTCCGGATCTGGACCGCGGTTCAATAATCCGCGACCTCTGGTGTAGACAATCCAGACACTGCTTTATGACCCATACATATTTTGAAATATTCAGTGTTCCATGGTTAAAAACCTTTATCACATCCATAAATCCACCCAACTTGTAGCTTCTCTTTGTTGGAAGTGGCAGAAATTATCATTGATTTAGAGCTTGGAACATTTTCCTATAAATGAATCTTCAAAACAGTCAATTTTTAATCAATCAATAAAAGCCATCTCTACATTGAGTACGTTAAGAGATGCAACTATTAGTAGACATAATGAACAAGGCTTCCTCAAAATTTTGTGAAAAGGGCAAAAATGGAGGAAGGTCTGTAGTATTTTATTTAATTTTTTTGCATAGCGACTAAGAGTTGTTTTCTTGGAGGCCCAACATTTTTACTTTCACAAGTTGAGCATTATGGCTTTTGCTGAAATGGTCCATGGAGCAGATTTCAAGACCTGGGACATCATACCAGCTGGAAGGGAAATATAAGTAATAGTGTAATATTTAGTTAGTAGCTTTTCAAAGCATTTTCTGAAAGCATCGAGTCAATAGCAGATAAATGAGTTTCCAGTTTGAGTAGGTTCTCGACTACACTGGTTTTTGTTACTGATTGAAAAGAACATGGGAGGAAACCAGAGGCTGATGAGTGGGTTATAGGTGGAAGACTGCTAGGAGAGCAAAACTTCCATTACACCTCTGTTAAAGGGGTTCACCAGGACGCTCCAAGTGGTTAAATGTTAGTCAGACTTAGATGTTTAGAAGAAAAGTCTTCTTTTCTGCACAGATTGAGACATTTAGAAGAACACAGGAATGTTTTTCATTAGTAGAATATGATCACTGCCTTTTGGTAATTCCTCTGACCCATTCAGAATCTCTGCTGCTCTCTGTTTCCTGACAGTATATAAGGACCAACTCCTGACTGAAACTTTAGCAAATTAGATCTTTTTTTTTTTTAATCTTTTGTAAATTCACTACAAAGCGTTTGAGTAGGAAATATGAGGAAAACCCTATTAGAGGGCTTTATTCCAGGCTTCTTAGATTCAATATATTTGGTAACAGGTGTGAAATCTAGAGGACTTAATGCAAAAATCAAATAAGAAGCTGTTCAGCTAAGCATTTCTTTAAGTGTGCAGCCAGTTTATTATATTTAGTTTCAAGGTTTTACTGCTAGCTTATTTGTTTGTTTCTTTAGTTGAGTTGTGCTGGTTATTGGCCACATTAAAAGGTAATTAATGACTCCTACAACATAAAACCTGCGGTCACCTTCCTCTGGACGTCTTCTCTCCTGTTTGCATCAGCTCTTGCCAAATGGTCTAAGTAGTTTGGAACAACATGGTGTCGATAACAGATATTACCGTAGTGAGGCGTCGCAGGGAGCTGAATCTCTCCTCCCAGGTGGCGGCTGCTTTCCTGAAGGCTTCGTGTCGGCGTATGAGCTGCTCCACCTCGTCCACGCTCCCTCCCAGCTCCTTGCTATTGATCAGCGGCTCCTGAGCGGTCAGCCAGGCCTCCACCACCATTGCCTCCTGGGCAAACTGATGGACCTCCAACACTAACGGGAGAATAGAAGAAACAGGATCAATATTTACGAAAAAGAACATGGTCATTTCTCCATGTACCCACCAAAGATTTGTGTGCACTCACATTGCTGTAAAACCTCCCAGTGCTTGTCCCACTTCTCCAAAAGCTCCCGCTGCTTGGAAATCACCTTTTCCAGCTTTTCTTTAATCTGAGATTCAAAACCAGCAACTTCATAATTAGAACATCACAGGTTGTAACCGTCAGATGAATGAAGGGAAAATCTAGAAACAGACCATTAGGATTCTAACAGACATCACTTTTTTCCACCACTTTTCTTGTTTGGGGTCTGCTTAGATCACCAGCATTGAATCCAAACTTATATTCTTCAAATACAAAAGAAAATTAAAAGAAATCTGGCAGGCTATCCGGAGGAGAATTTAGAACCACTATCTGGAACTTTACTAGTTTAAACTATGTGTCGAACTCAAAGCCCACAGACAAAATCCAACCCATAAAAACTGTTTATCTGGCTCACAAGAGCTAAACAGGCATGTGCACTAAAGTACAGCATGTTTTGGGCCTATGGGTGAAAAGCAGGCATAAAATACGTTTGATCATCCTCAATGGCTAAAAATAAAAAGTTAAATTTCCTTTAATGTCAGAGAGTATAAAACTTAATTTTCTTTTTTTTTTTTCTTTTACCTACTCTGTATGTAGAGATCTGGTTTATTTGGTATATACAGTAATTTCAAGCTAGTTAATAAAAAAAAAAAAAAAAAAAATGCTGAAAAAAGTTCAAGAATGAAAGTATTCAGGAAAATTTTAAATAGAATCCAGTAAAGAGTTTTGTTCCTGTGGGAATAATTTCCATGTTTTTTTTGTAGTTTTTTTGTGTGTGCTTTGTTTTATCAACTGAAATTATACCAACAAAGAAGTTAGTGAAATTATGTTAAAAATTATGTTAAAAAAGCATTTTTCAAAAAAACGTCATATCTTGTGCCAGAACAAAGACTGAAATAAGCCTCATAATGATAATCTTGACCAAATATCAAACATCTGATTTGAAAGTTCCCACAGTAGCTGCATCCTGGGCGCACAAAGGAGGATAATGACAGATCCTTCCAGCAGCTGTTGAGTTTTTTTTACATCCTTGTAATAAGTCTGTTGGTGTCTTAATGAATAATTATAGAAACATGTTATGCACTTTTCTTGAGGTTACCTGCTTTTCTGTACATGTCTTTTTTCTAACTTATGCTATTTTCAACATTAATTTGGTAAAGTTTACATTGAGCTTTCTGATCACTGATCAGAGGTGGCACTACACATGATATATTTTAACAAATCACCTCTTTTTTTCAATTACACTTATTCAAATATCTAAACTAAACACCTCCTAGTGGTGATGATGTGAATTGCTGTGTCACAATGACAGATGGCTTTTGGTTTTTGCCTTTATCTTAAAAAATAAACAAACAAATATCATCAATATTTTGGTTAACACAACCCCTGATAATGATGCCTGCCTGTTATACCAGACATCATCTCACCTCCTCAGCAGCAGGGTTTCTAGCAGCCAGCAGCATTTTTCCCATTTCGATACACTCCAGGGTGCTCTGGCTGCGGGCCTCCACTTCACTCTTAAGGCTTTGGTGATAATTCATCAGCACCTCCACCGATGACACGTCCCTGCAGGAATAACAAAGAATTGTGTTACTCTAAACCATGGAAAAACCTTCAACTAATATGCTCTTCAGAAAAAATAATGTGATTTGTTTTTAAGGGTTGTTTTTTGTCAAACTAGCAGAAAACCAGACTTTAACAAACAAAAGCAGACTTCCTCAATTCAGGTAGTAAAATTAAAAAGAGACGAGGACAAACACAACTAAATTCAAACTGATGAGAGAAGACCATTCAGCCAATCCTACTGGCTGCCATGATTCTGCTTCTAATATGAGTGGTTTCTAAATCAGGAAGTAAACACATTGCAGAAATAGTTCCACTCCTTATTTTTAGGTTTGAAATTGATGCAAGAAACACTTGATTAAGATGTTGTTGTTGGAAGGACCAACTATTTATAGAGAATCTTACCTCCATACCGGATGACAAATGAGAATCACTTTGGTTAATTTTATAGTATATTTCTAACAAAATGTAAACCAAAAATCTTCCCTTATCCAGGTAATAAACAACACCGCTCCCTGCAGCAGAAACTCCAGAAGGCAGGCAAATTTTAAACCTTAAATACCAGTTATCCACACTTGAGCAAATCAGCTAACTAGAACTGCTTAACACTCTCTAGCCCCAAAGCTAAGAGTACTACAGGTTCACGACAACATACGTATTTGTCCCACTCACCAGCTTTGCTTTCTTATGAGGGAGTATTAGGGCCAGGCTAGAGATTTTTATTTTATTTTATTTTGACAATAAAGTCGTAAAATTACAAAAATAAAGTCATAACATTACAACAATAAAGTCATTCAGTTATGAGAATAAAGTCATAACATTATAACAAAAAAGTCGTAACATTAAGAGAATAAAGTCGTAATAATACGAGAATAAAGTTGTATTTTATGACGACTCTTACAAGAAGCACTTCTTCCCTAAAATGAGGAATGTTGAGCATCATGTAAAGTTATACTTTGGCATTGGCTTGACAAATCAGGAAATCTTTTAGCACCAGCATCAAATTGGGCAGTATATCAGAGTGGACTCAGGTTGCTGATTGGTGGTGCTGGTCGGAGTTCGAAGCTTTCTTTCTGAAACAGGTTGTGGTATGAGGACTTCATTCTCGTTATTTTACAACTTTATTCTCATATTATTATGACTTTATTCTCATAATGTTACGTTATTCTCGTAATGTTATGACTTTATTCTCATATTATTACGACTTTAATCTCCTATTGTTACAACTTTTATTCTCCTATTACAACTTTAATTCTTGTAATGTTACATTATTCTCGTAATGTTATGACTTTATTCTCGTAATGTTACGACTTTATTCTCATATTATTACAACTTTATTCTCGTAATGTTATGACTTTATTCTCGTAATGTTACAACTTTATTCTTGTAATGTTACGATTTATTCTCGTAATGGTATGACGTTATTCTCATATTATTACTACTTTATTCTCGTAATGTCACAACGGTATTCTCGTAATGTTTCGACTTTATTCTCGTAATGTTACGACTTTATTTTCATAATGTTACGAGTTTATTCTTGTAATGTTACAACTTTATTCTGGAGAAAAAGAGCGAAATCTCTAAACTGCCCCTAATACTTCGTCATAGTTTTCTTGGGTAGATTTCTACATTGGAAATATATGTTGTTTTTTTTTCCTTAATAAAACCCTGGTCCTTAGAAAAAGGCTCCTGAAGCTAATTTCCATAGAAAATAATGAACCTTTCAGCTTTTTTCCAAAAGGTTAAGGCAGGGGTCGGCAACCCAAACTGCTCAAAGAGTCATATTGGACCAAAAAAACAAAAAATAAATATGTCTGGAGCCGCAAAAATGTAAAAGTCTCATACATGCCTCTTATGGAAACACAGGCTCTAAGTGTATTATCCAACTATAGAAAAGGACTGTGTGGGCTTCAATATATAATAAGCATTCATGATTAAATGTTTATCATCGAGCACACATAGCAGCATGAGGTGAGGGACGAGCAGTGAACGTTCCCATCGCGCGCCGCTTAACTGCCCTTCACCGCGCGGTTTAAGTTTTGTTGCATTGATGAAAATTATAGAAACACGATAAAGGAATCTTTCTACGCTGGACGTGCTTCTGTTGGGAGGAGTTGATTGAGTCATGAGGAACCAAACAGGAACTGACACCCATGATAGCAGAGCTCTCTAGCCCTGACATCCCACATCCCAGCGTTCCTTGGTGTGATTTTTAGTTTCAGGATTTGGGGGAAAAATGGAAGAAAGTTCTCATCCTTGCATCAGAAACCAACCTGTTTGATCTGTGGACGGTTTTCCATCCTTGCAACAAAACTAGCAGCAGTAGTGGAGTTTGGAAATGCAATCCACTTCTTAAATCTATATTTGCTCTCCTCTAATTTATCCAGAAGTTCTGCAATCACGCTTTTTCTCTTTCTCCCAGCTTGGTTGTTGGCTGCATATTTAGCTTGCCTTCCCTGTAAATGCCTTTCCAAATTTTTATTTTTATTTTTTGCCAACCTCTCATTACAAAGCAAAAATGCAGGCAATCCTTCCGCATTGATAATGAAAGCAAATGATTCAGTCCATCCTTTGAATCCTCTTTTCTCATCAGCTATTTTCCTTTTGTCCCCTTTGGGATCCATGGTCCGAGACACTCCAGCAGCTTTGTTTGCCTGGTACCACGCAGCGCTGGTTGCAAGTTATGACCACTGATCTCTATGGCTATGACGCAAATTATTGTTTAAATGTATTTATTATACAAATGTTTACAGCATTGGAAAACATAATTATTTTTTGTTTGACCTCCTGCACACCATATTAAAACAAACAAACAAAAAAAACGATTTTCATAAATTTCTTTAGCCGCATGCGGCTCTTTAGCCGACCGCGGGTTGCCGACCCCTGGGTTAAGGGAACAGAAAGGAAAAAAAATATATTCTTATTTAACTTTTATTGTCTGGTTTATTATGATAATAAATCTCCAGTTGCTGGGGGTTCTTTGTATAATTTATCTGTATGTACCTTGGCTTTTCTCCTGTGCCTATCTGGCAGATGATTGACTCCATCCACATGATCTGATCCCGGACCATGCTGAAGAACCTCAGCTTGTCCGTCTCGGTGGTGATCTGCAGTCGACACTCTTCGCATGATGTCAGCAGCTCTTTCCAGCACAGCATCACTTCGTGCTCCCGACAGGCGATGGCTTCGGCCTTCTCTCCTGCATACACCGTTCTCAGCTGGGCCGCACTCTCCTGCAGCTGACGCACCTGACAGAGCAGTGGAACAAAAAACCAGAACAATGCATAAACAGCAGAGTTTTTTATTCAAATGACGCACTGAACACAGCTGCTGGGCCTGCTGGCAGAACTCAAAATCACAAACCTCTAGAGATGATTTTATACAGTACATGAATATAGTCATGGAAAAAGTTTGACCATAATTTTTTGTTCTAAAGGTTTATTACCTAAGAGGCAAAAAGCAAGAATCATCTTTTTTAACTACTGTATATATGAATATTTCTAAATAAAGAAAATAAATGATTAGCTTCAGTATTGTCTTTAATTTTCAATACTTTGCATCAAATACAGGAAATATTTCTGAGTAAAATTTACTAAACTAAAAGACAGTTTGACTAAAAGACAGATCAATTTTGATCCCTCTATAATTAGTTGACCAAAGACAATTCTGATGAAAATACCTTTAACTTATTTAACAGCCCCCCTTTTTTCCTGAGGATTCTCCACAGGTTTGGAAATCAGGATTTAAAAAATTTTAAAGGAAAACTTTTAAAAACTAGAAAACCAAACAAACTCAAGCAGCAGCTAGAAGCTGTCAGCTATACTCTCTCTCATAGAGCTGCTGTACCTGAGTGACCAGCAGCTGGATGTCCTGTTCGAAGTTTTGCAGGAGTCTCTGCAGGGTGCTGGTGTTGGAGGTGCTCCCCTGCCGAGCCCGAACTTCTGGTAGTCTGCGGTGCTTGTCTTCTATCTGAGCCAAAATCTGTAAATTAATAAGTTTTAGGGTGGGTTACATGAATCTGTTTAAAGGAAAACAAATACAGAGTAAATATATTTTCATAAATATCCAGAGGGCTTTGCAAGAATCCCTAAAAACATCATAAGTATACCTGCTGCAGCATCGTTTCCGGATGTCTTACATACGATATTAACAATCTCAGTGTCTTACCTCTTTGCAGTCTGAGAAGAACTTATGCAGCTGGTGTGACGCAGCGAGCATCTGCGCTCTGGTCTCCATCAGCTCCAGCAGGTCGGCCCAGGCTTCATTAACCCCGTCCTTCCATTCAGCGATGGTGGCGGCCTCAGAGTGACCGTAGTCTATGAGCTCGTCCACCATCTGGTTGACGGCCGTCACACGTTCCTGCCCCACACTTCCCGTCTCCGAGGCAAACTCTGTAAACTTTTCTTGGAGAACCTGGAAGCATTTTAGATCAAAGAAACGGGATAAAAAAAAACAAACATTGAGCTTAACATGATATAAATAAAGTAATTGTTTCTCCCCTCTAAATGCTTTTTTGATGCTATTTCTCTTAGTGAAATAATACAGATTCACATGATGGAAGGTGAAGTAAATTACATATTAAAAAAAAAATTGACAAAAGGAAATAAAACAACTGGTATTTATTTTTATAAATCCTCCTACACTGAGCTCCCAAATTGTCGACCTCGCCTCTTTTTACTCCCGTTTCATGGACAGATCTGAACAACCTGCAGATCCCTAAAGACTCTAAAGAGATTTCAAAGAACCCTAATGTTAGGACTCTGTACAAACAGAGCTTTATTTCCAGTTTATCTCTCACCACATATTATAGCCTGGTCCAAACAAGATTTTATGTACATGGATTTACATGTTGAAAGTAATTCCTGTTAAGTTGTAAGTTCTCATACATCTCCATCTATATTACAACAGCAAATAACTGTAAGAATATTTGTGAGTGTAGAAAAAAAAACATTTACTGTGAGGGGGAATTCGGCTAGATTAATTTGCAAGTGGGCACCTTTAGTGGCGTACCTCAAATCTTTATCTTCTTAATGTGTAGAATAATGAAAATAAATAAAGATTTAAAAAAATGTTGAAAACATTCTTATCTTACTCCATTCTAATCTATTCATATATGTGTCATTTTGTGTTTCTGTTCTATTGTTTTCATGTTTTCAAAGTTAGAGAAACTATACAAGTCATGCAAACTCTATATAATGTGCACAACTTTGTATTATCTCTTCATAAACAAATTAAATAAAGAAAATGATTCTTATTGGAGATAGATAGATGATAGATAGATAGATAGATAGATAGATAAATAGATAGATAGATAGATAAATAGATAGATAGATAGATAGATAGATAGATAGATAGATAGATAGATAGATAGATAGATAGATAGATAGATACTCCATGTCATAGATACTTTTTTTATTCAAAATATCGAAACATTTCCACATTTCTAAACTTAAAGTTGAATCTAAATATTCTGTCAAAAGATATATTCAGGAAAATAATAACATTAAATCATTTAACATTTTAAATTGTCCTCATTTAAAAACCAAGAACAATGTTTTAGCTGAGAAGATATCTTTGATTAAATAATTTTGTACTGTAGTATAAGCCTTTTATCTTTTAAAAGACCAGGCTTTGTCTAGCCTGATAAATATCTAATCCAAATGAGAGAAAATGTCTGCTTCATCCACAAACATCTGAAGACAAACTTACGGAGACATGCTCAAAGTCTTGGCCCAGTTCTGGCGAGCTGGCGACCACTTCCCTCTGGGCGATCCACTGCTCCAGCTCGTCCACCTCCCTGTTGAGCTGATACAGCCAGTACTGCTGCTCCAGGCGGCTCTTTCTCTCCTCCACCAGGTCCTTCAGGGACACGTACAGTCGGTCTATCTGCGACTGACGCTTGCTGATCTGTTCGCTGGGGAGGAAAACAAAAAGACTGGAAAAATGAAGGATTGGAAACAATGGGAAAATCAAGCTATACTTTAAACAGTTCACATGCAGTAGACTGCTTAGCATTTAAAAAAGATATTTTACAATAATTACCACATTAAGTAGAGGTACACAAAGGTACTGGTGATCAAAAGTTTTAACTTATTTTCAATTCTTGATTAGTAGGGGATACTAAAAAATACAACAATTTATTTTTGATTAGTGAACTCATCATATCAAAGCAATATCAGGTCAGGATAACAACTCTCTTCTGTGTGGATGCTGTCACTGTGTGATGTAGACTCAAATCTAGCTAACCTCAGCAACAGTGTTTAAATATGAAGTGAGAAATAGAGAAAGAGCCCAAAACATTTAAGAAGCTGAATTTTCAATGACATGTTGAGACATGCCTCCAGTTCATTTAGGCCATAAGGCAGCAAAAGAGAGCTGCACAATTAGCAGATAACATAATGGATAACTTAAGTACAATGAAACATGTTCTTCGGGCTTTCTAACCTCATTTTATAATTGAACAAAAAGATTGTCACTCTTTGGGAGGTTTCTGTAATAAGAAGGCGCTAGGCCAGATTGTTCTAGAACAGAGGTCTTCAACAGGGGGTCCGCGACCCCTAGGGGGTCCACAGAGGTACTGCATGGGGGTCGCAAAAGTTTTGGTTGATTAGACTTTTTTTTAAATATTCCCCCAATTTTTCCCACTAATTGAAATGTTGTTTAATTACACATTGACATGAATTCAACACACTGTAGTAAACAGATAAATGGAGCAGAAGATGTCTTCAGTCATCAATGCACAGACTCAGTGACACACAGGAGCTCCTTCAAGCTGGGCACCGTTTCATTAACAACACCTGTCCCATCAACCAGGAATCAGAAATAGAAATACTTTAATAATCCTAGGGCGAAATTAATTTCGTTACATTACTCCATCTGTAATAGAGTGACTATAGGACCAGTTTGATAAAACACAATTTCATAAAATAAATATAATTAGGGGGTCCCCACTCCATCTCACCATCAGTTTTGGGTTCCTTGCCCTGGAAAACGTTGAAGACCCCTGTTCTTGAACATGCAGAGATTACATGATAGTAATTCTAGCACCATGAACCACGCTGATCGCTAACATTAGATGCTAGTGGTAACTTAAATGGTAAACTCTGAGCTGATTTGGTCTCTCATTTAAAATAATCCTCTATCACAACTCGAGTAACGTTACATTTGTTCCTAATTTCAATATTTAATTAAAACACAGACCCAGCATTTTCAGATCATCCCACTGCGCCGCCTGTTTACTATTAAGCACTTTCTATATGGATGTGAACCTGGCGTCAACAGCACAATTACAAAAGAACAGCAGTACCAATAGCACATCCAATCAGTGGTTTCATAACCAAATCTTTCAGTATAAGTTATTATTTGGGATTATTAAGGTTTACCAATTAAGCCATTTTATCTATTTCTTAGCGCTTTGTAGAAATATGTTAATCCTATCCTGGAAGAACAATACATGCTGATATTGGCTATCAACTATTTTTTTAAATCTTATTTTTGGTTGTAAGATCAGTTTTGTTGTGTACTGAAAAACATTAGAATATTTCACATGATTTCCTAATTCAGCTAAACGTATTAATAGAGAGCTCTCCCTGTAATGGTTTGGTCATTTTCTCTGTTTGTGACGTGAGGCAGTTTGTGAGATTCTGTGTGTTTTAGAGCTCACCTGTCTGGATGTCCCATCTCTAGCAATTGTCGACACTGCTGTGACAGCAGGCCAATGGTCTCAGCGTAGTCCTCGATGGTTTGCTCCAGGAGCAAATGTTTCTTCAGCAACTGCAGCGTGCTCGGCTCATCCTGCAGTTCAAGCAGTCAGTGACACACAAAGACCTTTTTGTAATGAATAATTTTCAAAACACTGATCCTTAAATATTTTGTTTCCATAGCTTGTCAAATAACTGACCTTTCCCTTCTCCTCATTCATCATGTGCAGCTCCTGCTCACTTAACCAGGCCTCGACCTCAGCTGTGTCAAAGTAATACTGCTGGGCTTGATACATGGCGTCCAGTACCAGCTGCCTCCTCTCTGTCTCAGCCCACAGCAGAGCCCACAGCTGGGCCAGCTGGTCATGACCTGCTCTGACGCAGTCAGCCTCTGGGCTCCTAATGGAGGCAATGATCCCTGCCCTCTCCAGGACATCTTCGATTCTGCTCCTGTGTCCCTCCAGCTCTCTTTGAAGTGTCTGCAACGAGTCAAGAAACCTATTTGAAATGGCTTTGTGCATGCATTTGGAAGAAAAGCAGTCCATGGTTCTTTCATTTATGTTTGATCCAAATGAAATCACATGTTGAAGGTTAAGGCAGAGGTGAAATGTTCCTCTTAATTTAGTCAGCATTACATCATTGTCATCAAACTTTGTGATTCCCTCAAGCAGTTTCCAAAATGGTTGCTTTTTGTCAGGTTTCTGTTTCTGTTATGTTTTTTCTTCTGAGTATCCAGTTTTGCTTTGCTCCTTGTTTTCTAGTTTTAGTGGGTTAATCCTTAGTTTATTGTGTTCTTTGTTTTTTTCTCAGTTACTGTCTTAGTCTTGGTTCTGTTATGTTTTCTTTGAGTGTTCAGTTTTGCTTTACTCCTTGTTTTCTAGTTTTTAGTGGTTTAATTTTTATTTTGTTGTGTTCTCTGATTAATTCTTAGTTACTGTTTCAGTATTGGCTCTGTTTTGTTTTTCTTTTTAAGTATTTAGTTTTACTTTGCTCAATGTTTTATAGTCTTAGTGGTTTCATTGTGATTTTGATGTGTTTTCTGGTTATTTTCAGTTTTTAGGTTCTTATTTGTTGCCCTCTGCTTCCCTCTTGTGTTCTCCTTTTTCCTTAGCTCCTTTTCTGCTCTGCTCTGTGCACACCTGGTCCCAATCTGGTCGTTAATCCTCTGTTTGTTTAAGTCTTCTTTAAATACTCTCCCTGTTCAGTTTTTCAGTGCTGGGTCCTTGTCTGATGTCGTCTTACATGCTCAAACTTCATCTCTCTGCGCCTTCCTCCTTGTGTTGTGATTCCCCTGATGTCTCCATGGTGTCTTTTTTGGTATTTTTGGACTCCTGGTTTCTTGTTTGTATTATGGACTTTACTTTTTAACTTTTCAATTAGCTTTTCACCTTTTTTTCTTGACTTATTCGTTTTTTTTTTTTTTTTTTTTTTTTTTACACTTAATCTACAGTAGGTAATATATTATTCAAGGGCTCATCTAATTGGTCAAATGCCAAAATAATATGTACCGTCATGTAGCAGTATCTTTGCTGAACAGCTGGATATAAATGTTTTGTGCTTCTAGACCTCACTGAGGGACAGGAAACTACATTTGTAAGGGATATACAAGTGATTAAAAATGGTTCCCTGCCCTATAAAGGGTTTAATATTATATATATATATAGATTTATGTTAGTTAATAGTTTTATTATCTAGCCAATTAATCACTCAGGCAGCAGCGCTGCATTCAGTCACAATAACAATACATGCTGATTTTCTTACCTGGTTCTTCTTCATGAGCTGCTGGACGGCTTGAAGTGATGAGCCGTGTTCCTGGGACATGGCCAGAGGGAGGCGCTCCTGGAACCATAACTACAGTGACCATAACAGGACAACACAAAAAATCTTAGCATCGGAGGAATATACTGGTTTTATTTTCTGAAGTTCATAGAAAATGCCAGGTTTACAAAGCTTTAATTTTATCTACTGCTATGAAATTAGCTAAATGTAATCTCAAGTGCACAAAAAAACAACACAAATAATTTCAGATGTTCTCAAGTAAATGTAGAACAAACGAGAAAAGATGTTTGTGGAAAATTGCACCCACTGATTCAGCAGTTTTGATTGACTTTTTCGTCCTCTTTATGTGGTGGTTTACATCTTTGCTTCTAGGATTGTACGGTCTACTTGGACCAAGACTCATCAGTCAAACCTGGTCTTACAATTTAATCTTAGATTATGTTGGTATACAGATGGGTTCATGTTTGACTAAGCAGATCCTAACCAGCTATGTGACTGCAAACCAGGACCAAGTCATCATCCCTCCACCACCGTGCTCAGCAGTGTGTGTGAGGAGTTGGTGCTGTCTGCAAACACAACTCATCATCACTATATTGGTTTCATCCTTACAAATGTTCCAGAGGTCTTGCTTTATATTTAAAGACTTTTCAAAAACTCTCACTCTTCTTTAGTTGATCTGAAGGCAACATATAGTTTGGGGGTCTGTAGCTATCAACGCTGCTTGACATAAACATCCGACAAATTTCAGGAGTGGCAGATAACAAAGGCGGCCTTGATGCTCAATTCCGATTTTTTTGTGAAATCCGATTATTTCGCCTTGCCGTTCACATTTCCATATATATGTGACTTATAAGTGATCTCTTGTGTAAACTGCATTCATACAGCTTAAGTGTCCTGCATAAGCAGTAGAGGATGCAATGATGTCACAAGTCAGCGTGCTTCGTGTTTACGGAAGTAAACCTGGATGTAGTCCTGGAGAGCATCTAGCTATCTTTCCAAACCTTAAAAACACAATCTTTTCAAGATGGTTAAACATACATACTGCTCTCTGCATGATCATCTGCCATGGTTGATGTTTTTCTTGCCTTTTCTGCATAGCAAGAAGCAGAATAGTGAGCTATGTTGGGTATTAATGGCGTTCAGGTCGGATGAATGCGACCTTGCCGTTCAGACACAGGTCGCATTTGAAAAGATCAGATTCGTTTTCAGATTCAGGACCAAATAGCCAAGCAGTCTGGGTTGGATTGGAAAAAAATCGGATCTGTGTTGTTCAGACTGCCATGAAAAGATCAAATCCAGGTCGGATGTGGGCCAAAAAATCAGATTTGGGTCACTTCAGGCTGCAGTGTGAACGTAGACAAATTAACTCAGATTAATCGCTTTAGTGCTATGGTTCTCCTCTTTTGGGACTTTGAGTTTTTAGTTTTCAGTTCTCACTCTAAGCAATTTTGTTTTGTTGACCTTTGTTTTTTTTTTCTCCGTTCAGTGCTATATTTAAGCCAGTCTTTAGTGACTCTCTATTGCCCATTTGTGCCTGTCTCATTTCCCCTAGCTCCCTTCTAGTCACTTCCATCCACACCTGCTCCATATCAGCTGATTACCCCAGTCTTTGTTCTGTCTCCCATATATTCTCTACCTGTGGAGTTCCTTGTTGTTAGTTGCTTCCTCATCTCTGGCCCCCCATTTGAGTTTTCCCTGATGTTTGCTGGTTATCTGGTTCTCAGTATTTTTTGTGTTTTTGGATGTTTGCCTCCGTTTTTCATTAAATCTACAAGAACTCATCTCTGCCTCACTCCTGCACGCCTCCAGGACTCTGAGGCGTGCAGGGAAGATTGTGGCTGATCCCTCGCACCCCAGTCACAAACTATTTCAGTCACTACCCTCTGGCAGGAGGCTGCGGTCCATCAGGACCAGAACCTCCCGTCACAAAAACAGTTTTTTCCCATCTGCTATCGGCCTTATCAACAAGGCCAAGACTGGTTGTTTTCTGACCATTTAGTGTAAGAAAATGTCCTTTTTGTTACACTGTAAATGGTAAAACCACAAATGTTTATACTTATATTGAACTTTTTGTTTAAGAAATCTCCTTATTAAACTTTTCACACAAACTGACCCCCTTAAGGTGATGCAGATCCTATCATAATTTACTTACTATGCAGTAACTGAGTTGTACGCATTTGAACCTTTATTATAATTTTTTTTTCTCATTGTTTGATAGATTACTAATTTTTTTTTCGAGCTTTTATTGTCATTATACTGTCACAAGAAGAGAGCAACAAAATGAACTCTCTGCATTTAACCCATCCCCCTTCGGAAGCATGGGCTGCCAATGTGCGGCGCCCGGCGAGCAGTGTAGGGTTAAGGGTCTTGCACAGGGACCCAGAGTGGCAGTCCGTGGGAGTGGGGCTTTAACTCAGAACCTCTAGATTCTAAGCTCTATGCCCTAACAACTAGGCCACAACTCCCCATTGCTATGTGAAGTAATGTCTTATGATATATTGACAATTGCTAATTGACATTTTTCCCCCACTTTTTTAATACTATGTTACTGATGTAAATAAATGTTGAAACCTCTCTTTTTTCAGTCAAATTTTTATCTTTTGAATGAATATTTCACTTACCTGCACAAGTTTTTAATATGCAATAAGAAACCACACTTCTTTCCACTTTTAATCTCGTTCTAGCAAACTTTAGCATGCCTAAGTCAGCTTCATTTGTATTGAAAATACTTGCCAAAAAGTGAAATGATGGCTAGTAAAAATGATAGTAACTTTGGAAAGCCACTAACAACCGTTGTTGTGAGCAAAAAAGTTCATTTCAAGCCCAGACCTCTTAGTATTGTGCTGACCCAGCTTTGTGACGTTCCTTGGCCTGACACCAATTTCCACTTTTACAAACAGCTGACTGTGCAATATTTAGAAGAAAGAGACTCTAAGACCCCTCTTTTCATCCATGTCAGTAGCATCAGTCTGCGTGCTGTATTTTATCGACCTGTGACCATAAACGTTACTGAACCACATATTTAGACAGAGGACCTAATACTACATTAAATAATTCTAGAAGGTAGAATTTTCATTTTTTTCTAAATAGCCCATATCTAAACAACTAGAATAATTATCAAAAAGTGAATTCCTAGCATGTCTTATATTCTTTTTAAAGATCAGTAGAAATGTTCTTTTGCTGTCTCCAACTCACAATCTCATCCTCCAGGTCTCGCCCGACTTGATGAACGTCCTTAGATGCCAGAAGAAGCCTCCGTCTCTCCTTCAATGGCTCGATCAGTCGGGCCATCCTGGTCTCTACAGCAGCTTGTCGCTCCACCACCGTGCCTTGGATCTGCGTCTGCTGCGGGATGGAAGCCGCCTGAACCTGCAGCTGACCCACCTCCTTATACCACTGCTCCATCTGGGACTCCATGGTCTAAAAGAGAGAGAGCGGGGGGTGGAAAATGGTAGACAGATGAAGGTGAAAGTTATCTAGAAACCTTAACAGAAATGTAACTTTTCAGTTCAGTTTTACATAAACTTTTAATCCAATAAAAAGTTTTATTTTATCTTATAATTAAACAATATACATTTTTGAAAAGCAGCGCAGTGGAGAGAATGAATAAGTTAGACAAAGATAAATTTCTAAAAGATGCAACAATAAAGTAATAACAAATAATAAAAAACAACTACAAAAAACACTTTTTGTTCTTACATATCAGCATTTTCATACAGAACATTTACTTATAAAATATATGTGTGATTTAACTTTGGTTTGTTTCTCGTTTATAATGTTTTTCATTTATGTCCCCTGAAAATCCTATTAAACATTCTTTATTAGAATAAAAATAAATTTAAAACAGGACACACAGACTTGCTGCAGAACTGACCCCAAAATGTTTTTAATTGCTAAAAGAACCGCCCTTTTAAACCAGGTGGTTTCTGGGTCAAACCTCAGCTGGAGGCCTGTTCATTTACACCTACATGGAGTTTCTTGAGCTGTTTGTTGACGGTGGTGAGGTCCTGTCCCTGGTCCACGTAGGACAGCTGACACTCCAGCTGGCCCAGCCTCTGGTCGAGGCTTTCATAACTCTGCACCAGCAGGTCCGCCTTGTTGGCCTCGAAGAGCTGGCGGGCTTTGGCCTGGGTGGTGCTCTCCAAATCTAGCCAGCAATCCCTGATCTCCTCCAGCTTCTTCCGGACCACGGGGCTCAGCTCCGGCTTCTCCTTAATCAGCTGCTGGCCTTCCTGGGTGGACAAAAGAAGGAGTAAGACTTTTTAAGACTTCAGAGCACTTGGACTGTTGTAACTTTAATTAGATTAGGATGGAAAATGCACATATAATCATGCTTAACTGAGGCCGACCCAAATAATTTCTTTATTTCATAGCTTCAACCTCATTAATAATTTAAACAATTTAAACCACACTGGCCTAAGAAAGCCAAAAATACCTCCAGAACCCCCCACCCCCCCCTGTGCTTTTCCTATTTCTGCCTCCTTTTGAACCCCATCCCATTCAGAACCCCCCGCTGGGCAAACAGATGGAGCTCCATTCTTTACATTCACCTGCTTCAGTTCATTTATTTTCATTCTACCCCAATTCACACTAAAATCCTTCTCCTATTCAACACCAATCCAATGGAGCCTATGTGCTTCACACAAAGAACTGATTCCCCATCTATTACAGAGCAAATAGGAAAAAAATGCATTTTTACAGCATGTTTAGAAGTAAAAAAAGAAAGAAAAACAAACTGTGTTTGCATGACAATACAATCCTAAACACACGAACCACAAACTCATGAAAGAAAAGTGAAACAAATTGTGAAATTCAAATTAAGGTATTTGGATTTTCCACTGATGTTCTTTTTAAAAACTATGCTTACACATCACTCATGCTTATTAAGGTTCCTTTTTTTATTTTAGCCTTGTTAGGTCAAGGTAAAAATAAAAAAAAATGTTAGTATAGTACATTTCAGCGGTAAGGGAACTCAAAGTGCTTTACATTAAAAAAAGATCAGAATGTACAGCAATACCCTTAAAATAATAAAATAAACAATGGAGCAAATCACACAGCAAATCTTCAAAAGATGAAAATCTTCACACAAAATAAAAAAATAAAATCAACTAAATATACATGATGTGTAGTAACATTAAAAAAAAACAAAGCATGAGTTTGATGATTTCAGTAACAGGTCACACTTTAAAGGTGTACCTGCATCTACAGAGCCAAGAGTAGCTCTTTGGACCTTCCTCATAAAATTACTTGACAGGAATAACTTTGGCTGAAAAATAAAGTGGAAATAACTATTTTACATCACCTAGCGAAGAAGAACCTCACACATTTGGAACTTAGCAGGGGGGACATTTCTGACCTGACCATTAAACCCTCTATGCGCAGTGACTCATCATCCGTGGAGAACAACATCCTGTCTGACTCACATTTATCCACGTACTGCTCTATCATTGCAAACTGCAAAAAATGTGATGGGGGGGCCCATTTAGTCATTAGGGCAAAGTGAAAATTTACAGAAACATGGATCTGAATAATAAACCTTCACTTTCTCTCCAATTACACACAAACAGGGGAAGCAGAGGCAGTCCACACTACATCACTGTGATTTCCAGTGTAAGTGGGTTATGTCAGCTTTCATTCTGCTGTTGCGTCCTTTTCCCGATGCAGATGTGTGCCATCCGCTGCAGTGAGTGAGTGGGAGCGCTGCGTGGGCTCTAGCAGCTTCACCCACGTTACGGAGCTGCTTCTGTATCGCTCAGTCTACACTTCAAAAAGAGCCGTGATTCTCTACTGCACATGCGGATATCATCTGCATAAATCTCATAGCGAAAAGGAAAATCCTTTCTCTTCTTTCTGGGTTAAACTGACTGCAGGATTCAGATGTCCAATTATCAACAACTTTTCCACCTTAATGATGTTACGAGTTTGGAAGAGACTTTGTATTTTCTCTAGAAAGAGGAGCAAATGGAGAAATCAGGTTTTGTGTTAGGAGTTTATATAGGAATGAAAAGAGCTACTAAGCAGGCTCTTTCTCACATCTATTGTTGGGGAGACAACATGACAGCTATTAAAAACATATAAGGATTTTGGTGTTTTCTGCCAATATGTGTCCCTAAAAAAATGTATTCTAGACAGCTATTGTTGACCTTAATTTCTATTTAAAGAGGGTTTTTGAGGTACACACCCACAGAGAAAGAGGTAGAAACCTGCAGGACAGCAAGAGACAGCTCCTGACAGTGCGCTGATGCTGCCAGTGACAGATGGGTCATACTAACTGTACTGCTGTCTGGTGTGGATTTTACTGCAGACATCTGCTAGTCAGTGTATCCGTCACATTCAGGCCATGGCAGCTACTGTGTCAATATTTACGCTAAGTCTAAAATGCTCCGAATGCTCCGAATTCACAGTCACTCTACTTCCTGTTTTAGTATCTTTGAGAATTTTGTCAGCTGTACCTTTGTTTTGTTTTTGCCCTTAGGTGCTAAAATAAAACTAGAAAAAATAACATTTTGTCTTTACTATCATCTAAAATTAAAACCTTAAATTAAGGGGTTTAAAACACACAAGACATTCATGTAATCCAGACTAACTGTAGTCGGAGAATTTAGTTTCTCTCACTTCATATATTAATTTATGTTATTAACTCACTATAAAAGTTTTCACTCAGCCTGTTTCAACCGCAAGGCCTCACAATTCCCATGCGTGAGGGTGTTTGTAGACCAGACATACCTTCTTCCGGTAACAAACCAGATTCTCTCTCAAGGTTTAATCATAACATGTTACTGTTTAAGTGTCTGTAATGTGTTTTGACTCTGACTACTTTCCATTATTGTAAGTAAGGGAGAACAAACGCTGCCCAGGCAGAACAGGGCTGATTACCAAGCAATACGATGAATATGATGAACTGTTCTCTCTTTGCAAAGATATGAAAATAAAGTGCAGACTGAGTGAAATCCATCGATCTCCGTTTATTTAACAGGAGCAAATAGTTACATACCTTTTTCCCAACTTCACTAACATTGAAAAGCTTTGTAAAAAATTTGATTGTGTTCCAAGATTCTGTGGCTGCTTAAAATACCTGAAGTGCATATAATCCACTGCTGTGCTTGACATTAGATATGAGGAGTTCAAACTGATAAATTATATTTGATTTTATCCGGACGAGAAATCCTCTCAATTGAAATTACTTCAGTTCAAATTATATTTAATTCTTTCAGATTAAAATTTGTAAGCCATGCTACCATAAAGCTACCATGACGTATTTTTCTCAAAGAGCAATAATTGTCTCCCTGTAAAAAAAAATTCAACAGTCATATGTTTTCATAATTCACTATGAAATAAAATTATCTTACAAGGTTGGAAAGAGGAAAACCAAGAATGAATCTGACTTATGAAGAACAGGCAGGGAAACAGAGCAACAGAGCATATTTAATGTAAGAAGCCAACAAAGATCTAAGTGAGTATATATATATGTTAGGAGGTGTGTGCAATATAGGGATTTGCAATTAATTTCATTTTCATTATAATAATTTAACAAAATGCAATTTTCAAATCCAGATTCACTCTGTTTTGGCAGCAACTAACAATTATTTTGCAAATCAATTAATCTGTTTATTGTTTTTATGATTAATCGATTAGTAATCAGATAGCCAAAGATTCCTTTAACATTTTTTATGAAATTAAACTAAATGAAACTCAAACTTTTCCACTTGAGGAGTTCTGCATAGAACATATTGACAAATGAAAAACTTTTCTTTTAGTTTTTTTTTTTTTATCTTAAGCGCTAAATGGAGACCCAGAGGGAGAACCAGGACACGCCGTAGGGACTATATTTCTCGGCTTGGGATTCACCCAAAGGAGTTTGCCCAAGTGGACCTGGGAGAGTTGCAGCTTGCACCAGATTTGTGCATGCAAGTAGAATTAAGCACTTATTTACACAAAGGTTATAGCAGCAACGGACTATGGACAAGCAGGATTTCTTAAAAAAACTGAAAAACTTGAGTGAAACATCTACATGCTTGCAGGTAGTGCAAAAAGAAAAAAATAATAGTAAAACCACAATATTGGTTTTAAAATATCACTATTTTCATTTTAGGCAAACTCCTTCAGGATAAGCGCAATTACATAGAAAAAAGGTTTGTCAATAAGGGAATATTTGCTGCAGAAAGAAGGGTAAGTATGGAGACTAAGAAAGGAAGACTAATTAACACAGACAGACCAAAGGAATATATCAGAGATCTTACAGGAAATAACTCTAAATACAAGAAAAAAAACTCTAAGAGGCTAAATGCAAAGAATGAACTAAGATACAGACACTTCCTTACAACAATAAGCCCAGAGAATATAACTAAGTAAAAGCACAACACCCGTACAACCCTGAAGAAAACCAACAACAAAAATACTTCAATTAGTTCAGTATTTTCTACTGGTCCAATTAGCACTAAGCATGCTAACTGAAGCCTTAGTCTCAGATTTGCAGGTTTTTGTTAATAACAATTTATGCAGCAAGAACGCTACCCTACCGCTCTCATAAAGAAATTAAAAAAGATAATAATGATAGAGAGTGAGTGAAACAAAAATTCACTGTGAGGCTGATCTTGTCCTTCTTAATGAGGTCACTTAATTATCAAGCAGTCTGAGTGAAAATCCAATCCCCAATGGATTTAGGCTTAAAAGTGCACAGAGAGAAGCGCATATTCACAGAGCACTGATGCTCATTTCATCATGCTCACATATACAGTCCCCTGAAGAAATTCACCTCTAAAGCTCATACAACATTAAGAGAAACACTTTAATGGTTTTTAGATCTACAGAGACAAAAACCTGATTTTTAAAAATTTTGTATAAAAAAAAAACATATAATAGCTAAAAAAAAACTTATCAGTCTCTCTTTTTATAACTAACTCATCAAATTTTCCTAAACCACTCATCTCATGGGATTTGAACCCTTCTTATCCAGATTAGTGTCTCTGACTGGCTGAGGTTCAGTCCAGTCATCCTGCAGCAACAGAACACCACTTATTGAATAAACACCACATTAAGCATTCAGAACAACGCAAACGTAAGCATATAGATCCGGATCTCTGTACTACAGCAACACCAACTGAGGGGGCTTTGCTTCATTTACTTCCCTGCCTGTTCATTGTCTCATGACTGTCCTTAATGAATAAAACAACCAACTTAATCATTTTTCCATCCACAATATTTTCACCAGTGATCTCATGTTTTTGAAGGA